CAGTCCAGAGATGTCTCGGGTCACAACAGCTGGATGGAACCGTGCGTCTGGAGGACTCTTAAGGAGTCTAATAATAATATCAGCTTTGTTCTGTAGGAACTATTTTGCTGTCTCAGCTTTGCAGGTGCAAAAAGGTTTTGACGACGTGTCAAAATCTTTTGGTTAAAGAGGTTTCAACAGGTGGCCGGTCTGAAGCTTTCTCTAGAACTAATGAATCACTCAGCATGATCCAGTTTTAAGGTTTTGATGTTATGATTTGCACAGCCAATCAAAGGCTGACAGCTTGGGAGATGTTACCAAGACAACTCAGAAACACACCTTCTTTGATACCAGATGTTCTGACTGGTTAAAAGGGCAAGTTATGTGTTGGAGTTTAACTTAACCATACTTGTTATTGTGTGAATGCAGGTGTGAGGACCTCGTCGTATAAACATGAACACATGGCAGTCTCTGTAGACATAACATAACATCCATTCAGTGAGCACATATTAATGAAGCATTTCATTATACTATAATTACTATAAGTAGTAATAAACAAATGTTTATTTAATGATTATCAAGATTATAAGTCATGGAAGAAGTTCATATTGATTTAGGAAATCATTTTTGATTTTAGCAACTGATTCGAGCTGGAGCTGCTCCTTCGTTGGAGGAGACAGGTAGGACCTTTGGAAAGAAAGTTATTGTTTATCTTTCAGAGCTGCAGAGTCTGTGAGCCCCAGCTGGTATGAAGGCCGGCTCATTTAACAGGATCACATACAGTGTTGTGTCTCCTTTCTGACCAGATGTTGAATAGATGTTGAAAGGTCAGACTGTACCTAAACTGACCATTGCTGGACGTTACAGTTGTACAGAGTTAATGGACTCTGAAAGGGAACTAACTCAGCGGGCAAGCCCAGTGTTCCCGATGGGCCAGTCTGCATGTCCCAGATCCAGCACACCACACCACGCCAGGATAGGATTGGGTTCTATTTGTGCTGTGAGCCGCTTCTGGGATGTGTCAGTTCCCTCAGTTATCATTGGGCTAGACAGGAAATCACACATGGTTTCAGTGTAAAACGTCCCGTAATTTTCCAAGTAAAAGAGTATTGCACAGATGCAATTTCTTCTCTATGTAGATTACATCAATACATGTGACCTTATTTACTCTTTTTAGAAGTGCAACGGTGTGTTTTTCATGGCTTTAATCCTGGCAGTGGAGAGGAACAACATTTATATGGCATCAGACAGTGAAATAAAATGTGTTTCCCTTTTGGTTTAATGGCAGATGGTGTAAACAACCCATGACCTTTGAAGTCTGAAGGGATTTTGTGATCCTGCAAGTCTGACGAGGAGGACGGCGGAGAAGCTGCTCTGATAGAAGCACTGCAAAACACGCAAGTAAACTGTCCCACTGCCGTTCTGCGCCGCTGATGCCTCCAGTGTGAAATTGGTGTAACTCAGTTAATTTTAATCACAGAAAATAAAAAGCAACATCTGGCAGTTAATGAGATTTTGAACAACTTTATATTCTAGATTTGACCAAAATATTTTTAACACTATCAGTCCTGAACAAAAGATTATCTTAGTTTAAAACTTTAACATTTTGTATCCCTACGATAAATGCAAGGCCTTTCATTTGTGGAGACGATGATTTCTTCTGGGTTGTGTATATTTACAGGCACTATCTGTGGCCCGTTTGTGCTTGATTCTTACATAACACCATCCTTGTCTCCGTCCATCCCCCACCCCCTTCCTTCCATGTCAGAGTAAATAATTTCCTCATTAGCATTCTTTTATGTTTGCATTTCTAATATCTGAATCTCACTGAGAATCTTCCAGGATTCAAGGTTTTTTTGGACATAGTGAGCTCTCTGGATTGGATTCTGAAGCAGGTGATGTAGCAGCACTGCTGCACAAACACACACATCGTTGCCCACACATGGGCATAGCGCACCCTGTCCTGCTGCCTCTGTGGCCATCATTCTGAATGATGTCAGTCAAATTAATTGCTGTTCCCTTCCCGTGGTACGCTTGAGGAGATTTCAGAGAGGCAAGGACAGTCCGAGACTCGCTGAGAGCAGGGCTCTGTCTCCCAAGAGACTTCTCAGGTTTTGAATAAGTACATTAAACCTGATTAACATTCTGTTTATTGATAATAAGATTACTTAATTACTGTGTGGTATTACAAAACCTGTATCATGCTATGTTACACCTTCCAGAGCAAAGATATATGATAAAATGTTACCATTGGCACTATTGAGATGTCAGTTGTTTCTGTGAGCTACATTTCTTCAACCTGACAGTAAGACATTTGGATTTGATGAAACTCCGCCTCCACCCGTGTGAGTCCCACGATGGCAGACCCGTAGACTGCAGATTCACGCCGTCACTCAGCCCACTGAGACAGGAAAATGCATGCGTGAAGCCAAAATATGCTTTGGGGTGTTCTTCATGAGGGAATGACTATATAACATGGTCAAAAGCACCAATTTTTTTCATGATACAGAACCCTTTAATGTTCATCGGTTTTAACATTAATCACATTCAAATGTGACAGGAGACATTTAACACCAAACCTACTTCTGTTTGGATTCTTGTCTGGGTGGATTGGCACAGAGAAGGCTAAAAACACAGAGAGGTTTCTTTCCACGGCTTCAATCTTCCTTCACACTTCATCCGCTTTCATTTCCCTCTCGTTTCCCATCCAAGGATTAGAACAGATAAGGTCATGTGAGTTATTCTGACAGGTGCATCCTCCATCATAAAACCACTGAAACCAGAAACTGGTTTTCTTGTCCATCTTTATGTTTCACTGTCATAATTAAATAAGGACCAAGACACATACATGAGCTGAAATTCTGGTTTTGAGGTGACTCGTTTAACAAGCAAGACCGTCAACTAATGACAGAGAGGAAGCCAGCAACGGTCAGGTGGTGCCAGACAGGTTGTGCTGGTTTAATAATCCGGGGTGTTAACGGTCCAGATGGGGCACTTTTTCTCTTAATGATGGCATTTTGTCATCAAATCAAACAGACACAAGAACATTAGATTTACACGAGACATTTGGTGAGAAACACAGCTGGTTCCATGGTGTGAAGTACGCCTCAGGGTGTTTGAGGAGTGCGTGTCAGACCTGAGCAGACAAACATGTAAAACACCAGAGAACGTACACTTTTCATTTCATTAACTCAGTGCTTCCAAATGTTGAGTGAAAGGCGATGTGTGATCTTGAGATGATCTAAAAAAAAACATCTAACTTCAAAATATTTTTGCCATAATTCTTGTGTACGGTTTCAAAAACCAAGGTTATAAATGATAACATCTGTTATTTTGTGGGTCAGAGGCTAAAACCACCGAGTTAACTAGTTTGTTTACATTTGGCATCAGCATTTTTCAGCTCTATCATTAAACCTCACTATCAACCAAGTTCAACCCTAAATCCTTCATCATTCCGGAGCTGCGCTGCTCTGGGCGGCTGCATGTTGGAGTAGCTCTGTTGACTATATGTAAGTTTTGCCTTTTCTTGGACATTTTTTGTTCTAGTTTCTCAAGAAAAACTGTTTTTTTTTTTTACATTTTACTTTACTGTTTCTGGTGCTGTGAAGCTTAGAGGATTTTTACTGCTAATTTTTCACTTTTTGAACAATTGTTATGATGCGTAACCATGGCAACAAGCTGGTTTACAATCGGGAGCAGCTGATTAACATTGGGAAGGCTGAAATAATACCTCAACGGAAGCCACAAATCCCAAATAAGCTAAAACACAAGAAGTGTGGGTGCAGAGCGGGAGCAAAACGGAGACAGAGAAAGAGAAAATTCAAACCATCTCTTCCATCGATCATAATGGGCAATGTGAGATCACTGGCCAACAAGATGGAGGAACTCCAAGCCCTATCAAGGACTCAGCCAGAGTATGGGCTGTATAGTGTTATGTGTTTCACTGAGACGTGGCTGCAGGACCATATCCCCGATTCCAGCGTCTCTCAGCCAGGATTCCTGACTGTTCTAGCAAACAGAGATCTGAAGAGGAGCGGGAAAAGAAAAGGAGGTGGAGTGCCAGTGCTTGTCAACAACAGATGGTGCCATCCAGGTCATGTTTCAGTGAAATGTCCTCTCTACAGCCCAGATGTTGAACTCTTGGCAGTAAGTTGTCGCCCATATTATTTGCCAAGAGAGTTCACCAGTGTTGTCTTGGCAACCGTTTACATTCCACCTTCAGCCATTGCTGAAAATGCATGCGATGCCATCAGTTCCGTTGTCGCTAAGCTACAATCCCAGCACCCCAATGCATTTGTGGCTATATCTGGTGATTTTAATCATGCCTCGCTCTCTGCTACACTTCCAACATTTCAACAGTTTGTCAGCTGCTTCACCAGAGAAAACAAGGCATTGGATTTGTGTTATGCAAATGTAAAGAATGCATACATGTCCAAAACAAGACCTCCTCTGGGACAATCAGATCACAATCTTGTTTTTATCTGCTCACAATACAAACCACTTGTTCAGAGGCAACCTGTGACAAGAAGAACTGTGAGAAAATGGTCACAGGATGCTTCAATTTTCCTCTGGGATTAATAAAGTATTTAAGCAGGGACCTGAAAAGGCTCAACAGCCTAATAAAAAAGGCTGGTTCTGTTCTGGGGACGACTGTGGAACCGCTGGAGGAGATAATGCAAAGAAGGATTCTCCAGAGAATCAAGAAAATGATGGACAACCCTGAGCATTCTCTTCACAAGACTGTCCGACAACGGAAGAGTGTCTTCAGTCAGAGGCTTCTTCAGTTTGGCTGCAACACTGACCGCTACTGGAGATCCTTCCTGCCAACAGCCATTGTAATATACAACAACTCTTTGATGACTTGATTATTATTATTATTATTCTGAGCTACTACAGCAATCAACTTACCCCTGGGATTAATAAAGTATTTTTGAATTGAATTGAAATCTGTGAGTAAATAACGGAAAAATGTGTGATTTCAATCTCTAATAAAACTACTAGTTTTATAAAAAAATATTAACAAGGAAGCTGCTAATGTCCTCATCTAAACCTTAAATCAACAAAAAGTGGAACAAACAACATTGCTTCACTCCAGAATGTGTTACTTGATAAGTGGCACTACAGATTTTCAGATGTATTAGATTACAACTCCTTTTGAAATCTCCACAAGTTGAAACAATCACACAAGCTGAGTCATTCTTTAGTTGTTCCCATTCTCCTTTGGGAGGAGGCTGGACTTTACTCCAGCGGAGTAAATGCTAAATGGTCTGTATTTGATATAGCGCCTTCTAGAGTCCTATAACCCCACAAGGCGCTTTACTACACAATCAGTCATTCACCCATTCACACACACATTCACACACTGGTGGGGATGAGCTACAATGTAGCCACAGCTGCCCTGGGGCGCACTGACAGAGGCGAGGCTGCCGAGCACTGGCGCCACCAGTCCCTCCGACCACCACCAGCAGGCAACGTGGGTTAAGTGTCTTGCCCAAGGACACAACGACAGCGACAGACTGAGCGGGACTCGAACCAGCAACCTTCCGGGGCGAGCACTTAACTCTTGTGCCACCGTTGCCCCAAATAGCGCCTTCCTAGGGTTCTACAACCCCCCAAGGCGCTTCACAACACAGTCAGTCATCCACCCATTCACACACACATTCACACACTGGTGGGGATGAGCTACGGCCCTGGGGCGCACTGACAGAGGCGAGATAGGTGGAGCACCTGGACAGGTCACCTGTACTTCCACAGAGAAACACGAGACAGATGTCCACACACACACCACACTCAGTTCTAGCTAATCTAATGTGTTTATTTTTATCTGTGAAGAGAAACAAAAAACTCGGCCTTCCTTGGAGGAATGCATGTTACCTGCTGCTGCTGGCAGTCATTTTGGTCTCTTGTTGAAAGTATTGTTTCAAAAACTCTAAATCTATGGACACGTAGCGTATTTATTACAGACTAATCTCATCTGCTAACAACCTAATTGCAGCACAATATCTGTAAAACTGAGTCGCTGCCTTTCTTCAATTGGCCGAGGTTAATTTGTTGAATGGGATCAATGTTCCAGTGAGTAATGAAATATTTTTCTAACAAACACACATCTGGACATTGGAACATCTCTCACCTTTGCTTTTTTGTAATTAAAACATTATTTATGTTTAAATGTCTGGAATGCCGTAATTCCCAGAAACAGATGGGCTAATGAACATTTCCCACTGTTCAGTGCTAATTTGGGTTTAAAACACACTCGACTTTTAATAATAATTAATGAATGGTGGTTTCACAAGCACCATGTTGCCTCGTCCGTGTAGCTGTCAGAGTAAAATGTCTCCAGCCTTCTGAGGTGCTTCATTTATGATGATCTGGCAAGTTTACCTCATTCTTGACTTTGTGTCATCCTGCTGTCGCTTCCTGAACGACCTCAGCTCCAGGGCTCTCTGCTTTAACTTAAAGCTCAAACAGGAGTAAATGAAATCTTATCTGTTCGTACTGGAAACTAAATTTCACATTATGTAAGAAAAACAGGAAACGGGCTGCAATGATCTCGAGATCAAACATGACTTTGGTGTAAACAAACATGGTGGAGGAGGCTTCTGTCACCTCTGTCTGATGGATGTCACGTTCCACAGGCAACTTGTTCACCCTGGACATTTGACCAAGACAATCTAACATGTTTAAAAATCCTGATTTATGATTGGAGCGGTTTTGATGTCCTTCCAGGCACAAGGCTGGAATAACTAATAAAGTAATTTTTAGAGACATTACAGTAATTGGGAACATCCTTGAGGTTGTCAGAAGGACAGAATCTGCAGAATTCCCTCGCCGTGTGAACCAGGCCTACAACTCTAATATTTCTTTGCCTGTCGGCTGGTGATATGCATTCCTTCAGTCAAAGCTAGCGCTTTAATTCGGGGTGTCTGATATGAAGTCACTTGTTCCCGCTGCGGGTATAGTTTGGTTTGATGCGTTCCACTCAACGGTTCTCACAGAGGACTTTAATGTGGCGTGTTAAAGCTTATCTGTGAGCCGTTGTGTGATTGAAGTGCATTCAGCAGTTAAACTGCATTAAATGGAGTTTGCTTTGGCGATGTGTGCTGTTGTGTATGTTGTTAAGGAGGACAGCAGTGCAGAGTTCATACTGCCCAGCCCTGGGATTATCTAACCTAGCAGCATGTCAGTACCAGTGGGATCTCCGACCCATGTCAGCACAACGGTCTTAATCTCAATCCTAAATTCCCTCCTCCTTACTCAGGAGCCGCTCACACTCAGCTATACATCAACACACAGTGTCACATTTCCCCATTCAGTCCCACAGACGTTTCTCTCAGAAACAGCAGCTCCGTCCTTCGCAGTCATTCCGGCCGGCTGCAAAAGGAACTCCTGGAATGAAAGGATGAGTCAGTGTTGTCAGAGGCGTGAGTCATTTCTTGTTTAGACTGGGCGTCTCTATGTTGTGGCCTCCTGGATGCAGTCTGTGGCAGCCCAGCAGGATGGAGAAGGCCTTGCGGAAATCAGCGTTGAAGGCATAGATGATGGGGTTGAGGGAGGAATTTGCCCAGCCGAACCACACAAACACGTCGAAGGTGGTGGGGCTGATGCAGGGGAAAGCCTCACCTCCGCTCGGCTGCTCGCAGAAGGGGACCATACAGTTCAGGATGAAAAAGGGCAGCCAGCAGCACACAAACACTCCCATGATCACAGACAGAGTCTTCAGCACCTTGGTCTCCCTCCTGAATGTGATTTTGAAGGAGGTCTCTGACTCTGCGATGCTGGAGCCTCTGCCCATGCTGTTGTGTCTGACTTTGGCGCTCTCAGCAGCACGCTCCAGAGCAGAAATCCTCCTGATCTGTCTGTGAGCAATGCGATAGATCTGGGTGTACGTGGCAACCATGATGGCTACAGGAATGTAGAAGCTTATGAGAGAGGTGGAGATAGCGTAGGTCCTGTTCAGGCTGGAGTCACAGTTCTCTGGAATATGGTGGGATGATGCGTTTGGCCCCAGTAATGACTCAGAGAGAGCCTTGTAAGACTTAGTCTGGGCTTTGTGCCAGTTGAGCTGCACGGGGATGAAGGAAATGAGGACGGATAACGTCCAGGCCACGCTGATCATCACATAAGCCACTCTGGGTGTCATCTTCCTTTCATAGCGAAAGGGGCTGGAGATGGCCCAGTAGCGGTCCAAGCTTATCACACAAAGGTTCAAAATGGACGCTGATAATGTCAAAAGCTACCCAGGTGTCACAGAAGGAGCCAAATGGCCAAAACCCAGTGATCTCTGTCACTGCCTTCCATGGCATCACCAAAACAGCCACCAAGAGATCGCTCACGGCCAAAGAGATCACAAAAAAGTTGGTGACTTTGGAGCGCAGGTGCCGGAACTTGGTGACAGCCGCACATACCAGCGTGTTTCCCAGCAAAGTGGTGAGGATGAGCAAAGACAGGAAACAGCCGGTCAGAATACGGCTCGATGGCATCTCATCCAGAAAGTCATTGTCGATGACGGTCGTGAAGTTCACCGGATCCATTCCCGAATAAATCTGGGTTTGGGGTTGGGGACAGCAGGTTTATGCCGTGCTTTAGAGTCCTGCTACGTTAAATCCACCGGGGGAGAATCCAGGAGGCTCCTGCTGAGTATCCAAGAAAACATCCGTCATTGTTTGGATTAATACAGCTAAGACGTTTGAGGCTGTGTGACAAAACCTTGCCCCCTGACTTGGTAAATGAAACATGACATAAGTGCAGCGACTGCGATGAAGACATCGTCCAAATTCTCAGGATGAATATCCTCTGCCTGAACAGTCATTTCAGGAATCCTGGTTGCTGGTATCAGCTGTGCTGTGGAGTAAGGACATTAATTAGGCATAAATGAGTGAGATGGTTTCATGCAATTAAAAACTGTTTCTTGCATAGAAGACTGATATTATATTTCAAACATGATTTTAATTTAAAAACAGATTCTGGTTCTCTTCAGCTGTAGGTTTATATTGCATTTAAAACAAATATGCCATACAAACTTTACAGCGCCGGATCCATCCATCCAGAGCGCGTCCAGGCCCCACAACACAAATCCACAGCTTCCATGTGCGTGTGATCTCTCCAAAAGCCAGGCATCAGAGAGGAGAGACGCGTCCGCGGCTCCGGCTGCGTCTGCGGACGCATCCCGACGGCGGAGTCTGCTGGGATGCTGCGCTGCCCCGCTCAGTGGGAACTGGGACACGAATGATGGCGCCGTGGCGTTTCTGAGAATAGAATCGGTGTCCTGCTGCAGGTTAATCTAATCTCGAGAGCTCATTTTCTGAGCTTCAGGGGTTAAACGCATCTTTTTCTATCCAGCTAGTGTTTTCTGACCCAGCTGCACGTGCGCTGGGGCTTACTGACAGGTGTGAAACAAACAAAAACCAGGACAAGGGCCAATCTTTAGGCGCGGAGGGTGTCTGGTTCCACCTAGTGGAGAAAAGGAGCAAATGCATCTCCACAACCTCTCAGAAGACCGGTTCGTTCAGACTTGTGTGTCTGAGGGTCACCAGGTGCTGCCTGTGAGGGTCCATGATGCTCTACCTGGAAGAGTGTGATGTGTGCTCTTCTGACAGGAGGAACCCAAACAGTGTTTAACCTTCTCTGACAAACACTCTTATAAAAACTGAAGCCATAATTTTGTTTTATTGATCACGCTATTTTAGATTTGGTCAGTTGTGGTGATTTATTGATTCTTAGTGCCGTCTTGCTGCAGAGACATGAAAAACAAAGCAGCTGGATGAGGGTTGAAAGGTCAGACAGTGGAAGTGCACCATGGTCTATATTCAGAGCAGCCCTCCTCCCGTCTGCTGCGCTCTGTTCAAAGATGCACCTGCTTCTCCTGCAGTCAGACCTGGACCGTCTGTCGTGTTTGATGGCTGTCAGAACCTCCAGATCTGTCTCATCTCTTCAACAATGTCAGGAGCAACTGAGCGGTTTGCTTTTCAGACACAGAGATGTGACAAATCCTCTGTTTAGCTCCTAATATTGTGCCTTTTTTTTTGGTCTGATGCAGGATGACAAGTAGCTAGCCACCCAGAAAGCACACAGGTTCTATGAGTAAGATGGCTCAGAGCAAAACGGACAAATTCTCCCTAAAAAAACAGAAAAAGAAATCTGACATTTCGACAATTCTACATTTGAATCGTCACGTTTGTGAGGATGTGCGTGAGTGGCAGTCAGCACATGTACCATCAGAGCAGATGTGTACGTTTATTAATGAAGCATTTGTCTCAGAGAAGGAAATCACAAAGATTACATAAAGTTATGAAATGATCATAAAAATAAAACAAAAAATCCTAAAACAGAGGAAAGATAATTAAAATCAGAAAACACAAATTATTTCAGTAAAAGCTTTTTAAATAAAAAGGTAAAGTTATAAAATCATGAAATTATTGTACGTTCAAAACTGGTTAGTACTCATTCACACGAGCTTTGTGTGTGTGTGTGTGTGTGTGTGTGTGTGTGTGTGTGTGTGTGTGTGTGTGTGTGTGTGTGTGTGTGTGTGTGTGTGTGTGTGTGCATGTGCGTGTGTGTGCGTGTGTGTGTGCGTGTTTGTGTGTGTGTGTGTGCGTGTTTGCGTGTGTGTGTGTGTGTGTGTGTGTGTGTGTGTGTATGTATGTATATATGTGTGTGTGTAAATGAACATGTGTGTGGGTATACATGTTCTTATGTGTTTTTAGGTATTTTCATTCTCATTTCTTGTGGTTGTTGTCTGTTTTAGAGAGCGAACATCTACCGAAGCCAAATTCCTTGTAAATGTAATTTTACTTGTCCAATAAATGTGAAATCTGAAATCTGTAGCCTGGTTAACCGGCAGCAGGGAACACGGCCTCAGTGGTGACCGACTGTAATCTGAAATTCACGTTTCAGCAGCAAGACGTTTCAAAAGAAAAGCAAAATCCAAATTAGAGTCAAGTATTAAAATACCAGATTTACTTTTAAACAGCAGCACAAAAGTTCTGAGCTGAAAAGATGTTTTCTGTTCACACGGTGAATATCACACATCATCCAGACATCTGTCTTCATCAGAATCATAAATACATACATTTATTTAAATAAATAGATTTATGTTATTTGAATAAATACACTTTACAAAAACACTTTCTGGCTAAATCTGGAAATAAAATGTAAAATCAAACACTTCTTCAGAAAAAGGGTTTAAATGTTTGACGTTGCCGAACAGCTTTTAGCTAAGCCTTTGCTGTTTAGCTTCTGGAGGAACTTATTGTACTTTGTAGGCCAGGAGGTACGTTTTCCGCTCTCGACCATCTTGCACAGGCCGTCGCTCTGGGGGAGAAAGAAGCAGGTCGATGTAAGCAGGTTGTGCAGCAATCCTAGTGCCGCTTCAGCTGTTTTCTCTTACACTTTTCTGTTCTCTCATTTCTCTCAAGTTGGCCTCAAGTTTCTTGAGCTCGACACCTTCTTTCCCACTTGCTGTGACATTGCTCAGAAGTTTCAGTAGATTCTCTGCAAAGGTGCCGACGCAGCAGGCCTGCAGGGTTCAGAGAACAGGGTTTAGAGAGGCTGCTGCATCCATGGAAACACGCGAGAGCAACAAACCTGAAACGTTGCCCAGCCAAGTGAAAACACTCAGGACTTACAGCCTTTGTGAGCATCCCCTGTCCTGGAATCAGCACAGATGTTTGCTAAATGGGCAGATAAACAAACCACTTTTAAACACTTATTATGGGATGATTTCAAAGTAGTTAAACAGGCGGAAAACTACAAATAAACGACTCTTTTTATCATACTTACAAACGTATCACAGAGCTTAGGCTGGAGTGTTTTGAGGCTGTTTGAGACTTCGATGTTCTGGTCCATGCTGAACTGATAGCAACAGCAGATCTGCAGCAGAACCAGGACGGATGCACTCTTCAGCATGCTGCAGCGTCGTTCTGTCGCCTTCTCAACAGGTTCTGGTGACGTGATCGCTATCTGCTCTGCTCCTTATATACTGACAGAGAAGTGACAAGAAGGAAGCTTGATGTCGTTGTTGGTGATGGAAATGTGTGTGATGAGTACAATAGTTTACATTTGCATAGGGCCTGTCAAGATTGCTGTAGCTTAGGGTGGGGGAGGTTTGGTTACACGTGGACCGAGGGATGCAGGGAACTCTACCTGCATTCAGCAAAATGACTTCCACTCACAGTCCTCTCATTGCTCTACACACAGTGTTGCCACGACACTCAAAATGGAGCTCAGGTGATCCCACGGATCTAGATGTTTCTACAACTTGACTGGTAGACATGATTTCCAAAGCCACACACCTGTCAGAACATCAATCCAGCCATGAGGTCCGCTGAACTGTGCTGAAGTGGAGATCTGAGGAAGGGGACAGTTTTCAGCAGCATCATGCCGTGGGGATGTTTGTAGACAGCAGAAACTAGATGGTCACAGTTCAGGAGAACAGCAACCTGCTCCAGAGAGCTCTGGGTCCCAGACTGCGGTGCAGGTTCATGTTCCAACAGAGGAACGGCAAACCTGTCCAAACAAAAAAGTCCGGACCCGAACTCATTTGAACATTTCTGAAGAGATCTAGAAATGAGTGATATCACACCTGACGGTGTGTGAAGAACATGCCCAGCAATAGGCACCACAAGGCTGCAGCATCACGATGCTGACAAAGGGAAGCACCACAAATACGTTCAGATGCTTTGTAACAGCTTTTATTGTGAAGGTGAACTTCACAATAATAAAGAATTCCTCCTTTTTACTATCGTCACTGACTCACTAGGTGATGCTCGGGGCTTTTGGTGAACAAGGAGGTGTGTGTGACTCTGAAGGAGCATCTACAGTGAGGTGTACAGGAAAATGAGAGAGGAGGAACTGAACTGATGGTTTTAAATATAGGTTTGCTGACGAAGGGGAAGTTACTAAAGAGAAAAGGTGAAGATGAAAAGCTTCAGCTGATCTCATTTGAGATGTCGCCTCATGCTGACCATGAGTTCATGTCTGTGTTCAAGCCAGTCACTGAAACCATCTGATGACTCATTAAAAATGTAGATGTTCCTTATTTATAGGGTTGATAAGAAGGTGACGGAGAGAGCATGGAAATACCATCTCATGACGTCGTGGCCAGCTCTAACACTAAACACGCTTTAGAGGGAAAGCCCATGAAAATGCATGCGTGCTTACTGTAAGTGTTGTGTGCTAACTCAGCAAACCTGCAGGTCTTACAAACGGTACCGCTCCGTTTCACGTTGTCTGCCAGACGTTGTGCCAGCTAAGATGTAAAGCAGAGCAGCTGAAAACTCACCTGTTCAGGCTTTGCTGTGGCCTTCATCACCCTCTCCTTGTTCTGCTCTTACTCCGCCTTTCCCGTGATCCACTGATTTCCCTCTCATTCATTTTCTCTCTCCCTTTCCTTACATTTTTTGAAATCTTACATTCATTTTTTTTTGTTTTTGTGAAGCGCCTCATGATTTTTGTCTTGAGAGTCGCTGTCACGACGTGCGCGGAGTGGAGCGGAGGAAAGGCGTGGATCCAGACCGGGGAGGAAACAGGCAGACAGGTAGAACTTCTGATAATGATTTATTGGGACGCACGCTGGACAATGAAACAATGACACCACAAGGAACACAGAACAGCAGAGGTTTAAATACATGAGGAACGGGAGCTATGGTGATTTGGGAAACAAGAGGCAGGTGGGAGCAATCAACGGAGACACAGACTACAACCCAGGAGAAGACAGGACAGGGCGTGACAGTACCCCCCCCCCCCTCAAAGAGCGGATCCCAGACGCCCAAAGGAACCAGGAGCAGGGCGGGGGGAGGGGGACCCGGAGGGAGGGCCCAGAGGACGATGGAGAGGCGGCAGGGAACAGCAGAGTCCGGAGGCCGGCGCCTGCGGCAGACGAGGAGGCGACGGGCCCTTGGAGGCCGGCGCCTGCGGCAGACGAGGAGGCGACGGGCCCTTGGAGGCCGGCGCCTGCGGCAGACGAGGAGGCGACGAGCCTCTGGAGGCCGGCGCCTGCGGCAGAGGAGGAGACGAGGACGGACTCTTGAGGACCTGCATCTATGATAGAGGAGCTCTGCAGGCTGGGCCGGCGACAAAGTCTCTGCAGGCTGGGCCGGAGCGGCCCTCAAAACCACCATCGGAACCGGAGACCGTGGAGACGCCGGGCTGGACGGAGCGTCGGCCTCTTGAGTGCAGAGAGCATCCCCAGACGAGCCGACTTCAGAGGACAAGGCGACGTCATCGAATGAGCCAACTTCAGAGGACGAGGCGACGTCATCGAACGAGCCGAATTCAGACGAGCCGACTTCAGAGGTGGCGGCGACGTCATCAGACGAGCCGACTTCAGAGGTGGCGGCGACATCATCAGACGAGCCGACTTCAGAGGTGGCGGCGACGTCATCAGACGGGACGTCATCAGAGGTGGCGGCGACGTCATCAGACGGGACGTCATCAGAGGTGGCGGCGACGTCATCAGACGGGACGTCATCAGAGGTGGCGGCGACGTCATCAGACGGGACGTCATCAGAGGTGGCGGCGACGTCATCAGAGGGGACGTCATCAGAGGTGGCGGCG